CTCAAGCTTATGAAGATTTTCTTACATGTTTTCTTTTAAAAGTTTCATGGGTTTATACTTTACATTCATATCTGTGATCCAATTTGAGTTCATTTGAATTAATTTCAATAGTTTGAGATTCAATTTTTTTTTATTTTGAGTGACTAATAGTTCTAACACCATTTATTGGAAAGTTCATTGCCTCTCCATTGAATTTCCTTTGAACTTTTGTCAAAAATCAATGGACAATATTGGCCATATTTGTGTGGTTCTATTTCTGTACTCTGTTTTCTATTCCACTGATCTATGTATGTCTCCCTTCACCAAAACCATGTGTTGTAATTGTATGGTAAGTTTTAAAACTAGAAGCATGAATCCCTCAACTTTATCTTTCTTTTTCAAAATTTTTTGGACCTCTAGTTTCTTTTTCTTTCAATACACATTTTAAAGTCTGTTCATTCACGTATAAAAATAATCCTGCTGGAATCTGTATTGATCTTTAGACCAATTTGGATAGAATTGACTTCTTAACTATCCTGAGTCTTCCAACTCATAAACATGCTGTTTCTCGATTTATTTAGATCCTCTTTGCTTTATTTCATCAGTGTTTTGTAATTTTCATCACAGAAATCCTGTACAATTGTGTTACTTATGTGTAATACACAAGTGTTTTATTTTTTGGAGCATTATTTTCCAAATTTCAAATTCCAATTGTTTGTTGCTGGAATATAGAAGTGGTTTTGTGTGTGCGTGTGTGTGTGTGTGCATGTGTGTGTATTAACCAAGGTGTTAACTTTGTACTCTGCAACATTGTTAAACTCATTAATTACTTCTAAGAGTGTCTCTAGGTGAACAAGCAGGTAATCTGTAAGGAGAGTTTTGTTTCATCCTTTCCTGCCTGTATGACTTATTTTTTTTTTTTTTTTGCATTATTGCACTGGCTAGAATTTCCAATATGATGTTCAATAGGCATACTGAGAGTTTACCTTGTTGTTTTGTTGCCAAATGTAGAGGGAAATTTAGTCTATCACCAAGTATGATATTAGTTGTAGATTTGTGTGTGTGTGTGTGTGTGTGTGTGTGTGTGTGTGTGTGTAAGCCCTTTATCAGGTTAAGAAAGAGCCTTTCTATTACTGGTTTGATGTCATAAATGGATGTTAACTTTTGCCATAAATTTTTTCAGCACCAGCCGATATGATCATGTATTTTTTCTTTTTAATTAATTTTAATTAATGCAGTAATACGATGTATGCTGCATTACATTGATTTCTGAGTACTAAGTCAACCTTGCCTTCCCATTTGGTTGTCATGTATTTTTCTTTTAACATATTACTAGATTCTTTTTGCTAATATTTTATGGAGAATTTCTGTGTCTATATTCATGAAGAATATTAGTCTGCAGTTTTCTTTTTTTATATGGCCTATGTGTGATTTTAGTATCAGGGGAATGCTGGCCTTAGAAAAGAAGTTAGGCATTGCTCCCTTCGCTATTTTCTAGAAAAGATCATGTAAAATTGGTGTTGTCCTTAAATTTTTGGTAGAGTTTTTCAATAGAACTATTTGGGTCAGGAGATTTGGGAAGTTTTCCAAGTATGAATTCAGTCTCTTTAATGAATATTGGTCTTCATAGGTTGTATATTTCTTTACTGATGAGATTTTTAGTTTGTGTTTGATCACCCCTAAGTTTTTTTCTAAGGTTGTTTGTACTATTCCCTTATTATTCCTTTAATGTCTGTCTCTTTAATTACTGATATTCATAAAATGTGCCTTCTCTTTCCCTTTTTCTTTCATTATCAGTCTGGTTAGAGACTTTCAAATCTATTAATCTCTTCAAAGAATCAGCTTTTAGTTTCATTGATTTTCTTTGTTGTCTTTCTGCTCTCAATTTTATTGATTTCTTCCCCTTTCTTTATCATTTACTCCTTGTGCTTGTTTTAGGTTTATTTTGATCTTCTTTGCTAGTTTTTAAAGATGGAAGTTTAGGGGCACCTGGGTGGCTCAGTCGGTTAAGTGTCTGACTTTGACTTGGGTCATGATCATGTGGTTTGTGAGTTTGAGCCCTGTGCCGGATTCTGTGCTGACAGCTGGGAGTCTGGAGCCTGCTTCAGATTCTGTGTCTCCCTCTCTCCCTCTCTGCCCCTACCCCGCTTGTGCGCTCTCTCTTTCTCAGAAAATGAATAAAATTTTTTTAAAAAGTAAAAAAAAGAGATGGAAGTTTACATTATTGGTTTGAGACCTTTCTTACTTTTTAAAAATGTTCCTAGTATGAACATTTAAAGCTATAAATTTCCCTCTAATCACTGCTTTAGTTGCATATCATAAGTCTTGACATGTTCTATTTTCATTTTTCTTCAGTTCAAGATATTTTCTAATTTCCCTTGAGATTTATTTGATTCATGAATATTTATAATATATGGCTTAATTGTTAATTGTGGAGATTTTCCACTTATCGCTCTGATATTAATTTCTAATTTCAATTCCATTATTTTCAAAGACGATTCTTTGCCTTATTTCAATTTGTTTGCATTTGTTAAGATTTGTTTCATAGCCAAGAATACAGTACATATTTGTGAATATTCCATGTGCACTTGAAAAGAAATGTGTATTCTGTTGCTAGGCAGAATGTTTTATGTGCCAATTAGATCAGCAGTTTTCATCTGGCGGGGATTTTGCCCCCCAGTGAGGAGTTGGCAATGTTTAGAGACATTATTGTTGTTAAAACTAGTAGCAAGCTATTTGCATTTAGTGGGTAGACTCTTCTGGCCTTTTGCTGGCTAAATATCCTACAATGTATAGAACAGAACATTCCCCCATCACTGCTCCACCTCTGCTAAAAACAAAGATTTATATGGTCCCAAATGTCAGTAGAGCCAAGGTTGAGAAACCCTGTTCCTTGTGATTTTCTCTCTAGTTGGTTTGTTGATTATTGAGTGACAAGTATTGATGTCTCCACTTCTAATGACAGATCTATCTCTTTTTTCAATTTTACCAGTTTTCAATTCTTTTATATCAAACTCTGGTCTTAAGTACATATACATTTATTATTTTTGTGTCTTCATGGTGAAGTGTGTCTTTTATCATTATGTGGTATTCATAATCTCAGGTAAGTTTTCATGATCTGAAACATACTTTGTCTGATATTAATAAAGTCACTCCAGTTTTCCTTCAATGTTTGTGTAGTATGTCTTTTTCCATTCTTTTAGTTTAACTTACTTTTGTTTAAAGTAGATTTCTTGTAGATAGCATATAATTGGGTCTTTTTCTTTTATTATTCATTCTGATAATTATACTTTGGATTGCTGTGTTTAGGTCATTTTCATTTAATGGAAGTATCGATATGTTTGGATTGAGGTCTACCATTTTAATAGTTGGGTTTTTTGCTCCATTTCCCCTTTTCTGCTTTTAGATTACTTGACTTCTTTTTTACAGTTTCATTTTAATGTTCGTATTGCGGTTTTTCCTATGTCTGTATGTTATTTTAATGATTGCTCTGGAGATTTAAAATATACATACTTAACTTTCCACAGCCTACTTAGATTAATATTTTAATTTAGTGGGAAAATGTCCGTATCTGACTCCTGACAGCATGCTTTTGTTCAGGGTGGGAGCTTGGCCCAAAATAGAAAATCAGCAAGCAAGCTTTAGAAAACAGCTTCTAGAACAATAAAGAACAGTTTTCATTCTCTTCCTAGCTGAAGATCTTCCTTGCTCCTGAGCCTCAGTCTTCCTCCCTTTACAATGACGATAATCCGATGGATCTTACTGGATTGCTGAAGATTAAAAGGAATATGTGCAAAGTTCTGATAATAATAGTTAATAGTTAACATTCATCAACCTTTTACTATGTGTCAGGCACGGTTGTAAGCCCTTTATACCTAGATAATTTGCACTCCCCAAGAGCCCTACAGGGGGGATGTTTTCATAAATGAGAAAATTGTGGCATTAAAAATTGAAGAAAATTCTTCAATGTAGATCTAGACTTCTAAGCTAAGCATTCTGAGGCCAGAAGCTACCCATGACTCTGTACCTTCTACTTCTCTGTATGGCAGCACTCATAACTATGATCATACCTACCAGTGCAGAGGTGTCTACAGTTGAATTTCAGTGTGAAGTCTGTGAAGGGAGGAGGTGTAGGGGGTAGGAAGTAGAAAAAGACAGAATTCTTTTACATTCTGCCAGGCTCAACCCTGGCTCCTCCACACTCATCCGCACAGCGTAGGCACACACTCTCCCTTGTGGGCTGAGCAAAAGACGTTCCTGGGCTGTTTCTGTTGTACTGCAGTGATAGTAGCTAAGGCGTGACTAGTGCCTCTGGGTCCAGAAGGTGAGGAGAGATGTAATACGTAAGTCATTCTTCACTCCCCCTCATTTCATATCCAGGCTATGCTGCTTTTTTTTTTTTTTCATGTTTCTTTATTCTTGAGAGAGAGAGAGAGAGAGAGAGAAAGAAAGTTGGGGAGGAGCAGAGAGAGAGGGAGACACAGAACCCAAAGCAGGCTCCAGGCTCTGAGCTGACAGCACAGAGCCTGACACTGGGCTCAAACTCATGAGCTGTGAGATCATGACCTGAGCTGAAGTTGGATGCTTAACTGACTGAGCCACCCAGGTGCCCCTATGCTGCTTCTGAGAACTCAGCACACCCCCCCTAAGGATTCATGAGATAACTGAAGGAAACACTAGATTTTTGTGAGGGTCTGGCAAGTGGCCGATAGCCAAGAACACACACACACACACACACACACACACACACACACACACTTTAGCAGGAGTTGTCCAGGATAATGGAGAGATTCATATTTCAAGGAATGGCACAGAGGGGTGTTGAGCATCCTTCAGGCCAACCTTGCACCCCTGAAGAGGGAATTGAATTTGCTAAAGATCTTTGGCTAGGTTACTCCTGCTGACGCCCTAATTTCTGTCTATCTCGTCTGTAACCATTAGTGAGAGAAGCATTACAATTTGGGGGGAGTCTAGCGCCCTCACATCATCTTCTAACTAGACATATTTTCTCTTCTTGTCAGAGCATATCTTCTAGCAGTTTCTTGTGACTTTTCCCTCAAACCGATCACCAACCAATCAGAACAACACACTCCAAACATACACCCTTACTAAAAGAACATGGCCAAGGGCGGGAAAGGCTCCAAGGGCAAGAAGATTACCCTTAATGTGGCCAAGAATTGTGTCAAAATTACACTTGATGGGAAAAAACGCCTTGACTTGAGCAAGATGGGAATTACCACCTTCCCCAAGTGTATCCTGAGACTGAATGATGTGGATGAGCTCGACCTTAGCCGGAATATGATCAGAAAGATCCCTGACTCAATCTCCAAGTTCCAGAACCTTCGGTGGCTGGACCTGCACAGCAACTACATCGACAAGCTCCCTGAGTCCATCGGCCAGATGGCTTCTCTGCTCTACCTCAATGTCAGCAACAACAGGCTGACCACCAATGGGCTGCCTGTAGAACTCAATCAGCTCAAGAATATCCGCACTGTGAACTTGGGTTTGAACCATCTGGAGAGTGTGCCCACCACGCTGGGTGCTCTGAAGGAGCTCCATGAGGTGGGCCTACATGACAACATGCTGAGCACCATCCCCAAAAGTATCTCCAAACTCCCCAAGCTCAAAAAGCTCAACACAAAGCGAAATCCCTTTCCCAAGACAGAGGAGTCAGATACATTCATAGATTCCATCAGGAGGCTGGAAAGCTTGCATCTGGTGGAGGAGAAGGATCTCTGTACGACTTGCCTGAGAAAATGCCAACAGGCCCGGGACAAGCTGAACAAAATCAAGACTATGGCCGCAGCAACACCAAGAAGGGCCATCTTTTCTAACCTGGTCTCACCCAACTCCATGGCCAAGGATTCACAGGAAGATTGGAGGTGACCTGGGACCCTGACCCTGAGGCAGGAAGGGGAAAGGGAGGGAGGGAAGATGGCAGGGGGCTGCATCTACAGGGAATTATGGGATCCCCCCATTATTGCAACAGTTCCTCCAGCCAAGCCCATAAAATACCTTTCCCTACCTCCTTGGCTTGTGATTTTGTTGACTGAAGGGCTTTTAGTTCTTTGCCATTCCACACATTTCTCTCTTCTTTACATGCACACACCCATATGTACAGGCACAATGAGTCAGAAAAGGGCCATCCATCCCACTTCTTCCCAGAAGTCTCCTGCCTACAGCCCGTGGCCAGGGCAGCCAATATTGTTAGCATGCTCTTAGTCACATTGTCATACACTTCAGGACCAACTGCCAGCTCCCAAATGTGGAGTTCATTCCATGGGAATGCTTTGGTTCAGGGTTTTGGAAGTCAGGGATCTCAGAGCACGGATTGGTAGGAGGGAAGACGGACATTTAGTTTTGGGAAGGTGACAAATCTGGGCCACAGAGATGGGCAGATAGTATCATTAAGTGTTGGCAGGTAATATCTGGGGGTGAAAGCAGTACTATCTTTGTCTCTTGTCTGCACATGCACAATTTGCTCTAGGAGCCTTCTAGACTGAATCTGCAAGCTCTTGACTGGCTGTGAATGAATGAGAGTGCATTCCCATATTATTATGTCCCATTCCTTTCCAGACTCTCGTGGGGGAGCAAGGAAAGAATGGGTGCAGGTACGGGTTGGTGCAGTCAATACATAAATACCTTACCAGGCATTGGGCTAGGTGCAGGGACTGTGTTTTAGAGGAAAGCTTGCCTTGTTGTGTGCAGACCAGTTGAAAGAAGGCAGGGCAGAATGTCGTTGTCTGAGAAAGTTAGGAGATATGTGCCAAGATACGTGCAAGCATCGAGAAAAGCCAAAGATTCTGGAGCTGGACATATCTAGGTCCAGGGCAGCTCTGCTTCTTTCTTGTCATTTCTCTGGACATCTTATTTAGCTTTAGTTCCCTCATCTATAAAGTGGGGAAAATACCGGCCCCAACCATAACGGTTGTTGCGCATCTAAAGCAGATGGCACACAGAGTAATTACTCAAGAGAAGTCATTTCTCTGTATGATCTGGAACTTGGTACATCTCAAAGCTGAAACAATACTTTGGACAGTGTCCCTAGTCACACTAGATCTTTGGCAGAAATGACAGTGGTAGAGTCAATTCTCACAGTAGCTGAGAACATTCTATGCACTATTCACTCATGCTCATCCATACCTTCATACTGCCTAAAAGGAAAGGATCACAAAAGACATATTCAGGAAAGCCTTTTTCTTTTCTTTTCCTAATCAAGACTTTCCTATGTCAGTGGCAAGTTTTTTAGTGGTCAGTGGAAAAGTACAGAGATCTGTTCACTCAGCAGGACTCGCTTACTTCTTTTTTGCGTTATAAACCATAGCAGACAGCATAGTTCATTTCTTCACCCATTCCTGCTATTTTCCTTTGTAATGCTCAGCCGTGACAACTGTTCCTAAAATCTCTGAAGATACGAATCAAAGTTCCCTTTTCAGCTTTTCCCTTTATTAAATGTTTTCCATTATAAAAATAACAAAACCACAACAGAGTTTTAAATATAACATCTTCAAGTATCTACAATTCTACAATGTAAGCCAGCTATAATACGGGCAGATTTCCTTATTATTCTTCTGTGTATATTTTTATATGCAGTTAAAATTATAGCATTTACATCATTTTTATCCTGCTTTGAAAACCAAGTCATTACATGGTCTTAGAAACCACAATTTTAAACATCTGCAAGCTAGCCAAACACGCACATAAATTACTGTTGGGCATTTGAGCTGTTTCCGGTTTTTCACTAATAGAAATCATTTTGTGATGGAAGCCTATATGATGAAGACTTTAAAAACTGTTTTTGCATTATTTTCTTGGTATAGCTTCATTATTACAAATACGTTGAAGTGTGGTTTTTAAAAATAATTTTTAATACATGCCATCAAATAACTTATAACAAGATTACACATTTATGTATCTCCCAGTAGTATATTAGAGACTCTGTTTCACTACATCCTGGTCAGCTTTGAGTACCACCCTTTACATTTTCCCCTTCGCTTAATGTCTGAAATGATTTACTAGAAGCCCTTCCCAAGGTGGGTGGAGCAGTCATGTTTGTGGAGTGCTTGATGAGATGTCATGCCTTAGGCTCAGGAGCCATCACTGGCATGTTGGCCTTGAACATGTCCCTAACTAAGGTCGCCATTCTGCTATTTTAGCTGCTTCCTCTCTCACCCAAGAAGTACAGAAGCCATGCAAGGGCATATGATCCCGGCTAGTTATTTGGATATTACCCATTTCCGTTCTTTAGAATTAGTGTTCCCCTCTTAGTCACTCAAAGGGATTGGCAGAGAACAGGAAATAAGAATAAAAGTTCTCCCTGTGCCCCTAGGCGGGCTCCTGGTCTGGACCATGGATTTGCCTCCGCCTCCCTCTCCTGCCCTGTCAGGGTATATTTCCTCCACCACGCCTGGTCCTGAACAATCTCCAGGCACCCATCCTGGATTCGCTGCCAACTGAGTGGTTGGTGTGCAAGATGACATCATCCTTGTCTTATCTGCCATCCTTGGTCTAGGTGCTTTATTCTGCTTTCTTCCTCATAGCCATGTCTTAGGAAAGGGCTGTAAGCATCGTTAACTTCATGAGGATTGACAAATAAATGGGCAGGGGGCTTTGATTTGCCATAGGATACATTCATGTTAGACACCTGGTTAGCCAGGAAAACTGGCATTAGAATGGAGCAAAGATTGGAGATAAAGGTGAGTTGTGTGTCCTCTTCCACATTTTATTGCTTTTTTTTTTTTTTTTTGGATCAGAAAAAAGGCTTGATGTTAACATTCCTTCACGGTCTAAAATACACAGTCACTTTTCCTTCCTGGAAATTGTATTAAGCTTAAAAACACTTGATAGGAAAAGCATGGGGTTTCCCTTTCCTCAAATGGAGCAAAGACCCTATTTAGGCTAACCCAGTCACTGTCCTTTCTGAAAGCCAGGCATGACCTAGGTGATCCCTATATCACTTCTGCCCTTCCTGTGTTTTGCCTCCGTGACCTGGAGTAATTGCCTCAGTCTCTTGTCTCCATCCCCAGGATCCGATCAACATCTCCCTAGAATAGCTTTATGGCAAACCCTTGAAGATTAATCAGCCAACAAGAACAAACGACTCTGAAGAAGAAAAGCCCTCGGTTAGGAGAAGAAAGAGTGGTAAGGGGAACATTCTGGAAGCCAGGCTGTCTGGTGCTGGCCAAGATACTGACTCGCTTCTTAAATTCACTTTGCCTCTCTTTGATTTAGACCATCTGTGTATGAAAATGACTTTGGGAAATACTTAGTGTATTTTTTTATGCATATAGAGGAAATGTTTAAAAAATGATAGATATAAATTATAGAAAATTAAAGTTTTAAAAGAAGACTTTAAGACTTAAAAGACATGGTCTCTACACTTCTTTTGAACTAGTAGAACTCTCTATGCTAATCGCCTGTGGTAAGTTACGTACTTATAATGCAATACATCTGAAACTAAAATTTACACAAAAGATTCATACAAAGAAATATACTTAAAAATATGATAGATAAATAAAAGTAGATTTTAATCATTCAGTAATGCACAGGTAGGCAAAGAAGGAAAGAAAGAAAGAAAGAAAGAAAGAAAGAAAGAAAGAAAGAACAGAAATGAACAACAGGGGATAAGTAAACAAGGAAACAAAATATAAAACAGCAGATTTATGTCCTCACATTTCAATAATTATATTAAACGTAACTAGTCTTCTTTATTTGCCATGGCCCCAAACTAGAAACAACCAAATTTCTCTCAATAGGCAAATGGTTAAACAAACCCTGGTATATCCATATCATGGATACTACTGAGCGATAAAAGGGAACATATTATTGATACATGCAACGATGTGGATGGATCTCAATAGCATTATTCTGAGTGAAAAAGGCCAGTTTTCACTGTGGGTCACATACTCGATGATGCCATTTTTAGATCATTCTCTAAAGAACAAAATGATTGAGGTGACAGATCAGTGGTTGCCAGGCGTTAATGCTGATGAGGGGTGGTACAGGGTGGGCAGGACCATAAAATGTAGCTCAAGAGATAGCTCTGTGGCGATGAAAACAATTGATTATGATGAAAGGGGTAGTGGTTATAGAATCCACACATAGGATAAAATGACACAGGACTATGCACACATATTGTACCAATGTCAATTTCCTGGTATCGAAATTGTACTAGAGTTGCATAAGATGTAACAACCATCAGGGGAAATTAAGAGAAAGCTGTACCGGGACTCTATGTACTATTTTTGCAACTTCCTGTGAATCTATAGTTATTTTAAAATAAAAAAAATTTTTTTAAACAATCTTGCAGCCCAGATGCAGCAATAAACAGATCCTTATACATCAGCCAAGTGCTAATTTATGAGTAAATATGACAAGCTTAATGTTCTGCAACCATCCCAAAGAGCTAAGGCATTTCAGGAGAAAGAGTACCTTAACCTCAGTTCACCAGATAATCTAAAATGATCCACTGTTGATTTTATGCTTAAAGATGCTACACATAATAAAAAGAAAATGTGTGCCTTCTCTACCCATGTTCCAGGTTTTCTGGTGGTGGCTGGGCACAAGCAGCAAGTTGGGTGGGGGACCTTGAGCCAGCGAGTCTCTCCCTTCCCAGTTCTAGGTTTTCACTCCCCCTCCCCGACCCCCTTCGGTCCAACGCAAGCAACGTGACTAAGTGGAGCTGGAAGGACAAAGGGGCCAAGCTTGGGGTAAACAGAGAGGCTTGATTTACGCTTCTACCTAGAAGTGGGTCTGAGGTCATGGCCAAGGGTATGGCAAAGAGGAGATGTGAGCAAGAGACCTAAGACTGACATGAACGGGGCCCGAAACCAAGGTCTGCACGTGACCCAGGCAGTGCTCACTGGAGGTCACCAAGCTCAGCTGCTTGTGGCCTATTGAGCCAACCATGTGAAAAGTTCCTCAATGCGGGGCATTGGTTATACCACCGGGTTGTTTAGTTCACCTGGGGTTCCAGCAACTCTGCTCTAGACCCCCAGGGTCTGAGTGGTGTAGTCTCGGCAATTGCCCTCCCGGGGCTGTTTTCCCAAGAACAAGGGGCATGTTCCTGCACTCGGCCATGGGGCCAAAGCTATCTTTATCAAAGCAGTCTATGCACATGACACACCCCTAGCCTCCCAGCTGGTCAACAGCGTTGATCTCTGGAGAGTAGGATGGAAGGAACGGCCATGGGGGAGACAGGTACTTGAGTTTTAGCCTCCACGCTGCTAGCAGTGGTGTCTTGGAGGGTACGACTGACTATCAAGAACGTTCATCATCTCGTGGGAATTGATAAGTCCTCATGGGTGTTTTTCTGAACTCTTGTCTTGCATTATTTTTCAAAGGGAATCTATAAAGGAAACTCCGACAACCCTCCACTGCAGGACTTTGTGCCAAAAAGTGCATTTTCTCGTAAACGTTATATTTAAGTAATCTAGGCAATCGAGAGAACACTTCAGAAATGACAAATACGCAGACACAATCAGGTCCTAAAGATAAGCCTGCCACACACATAACAGCCTCCTCCAGCCCAGGGACACCTTGCCCTGATGACACGGCAAGGGAGCATTTCCGATATGTCCGAGACTGTGGCTATGGAAGGATGCTTCTAGCCCATTTAAAGGCATGTGCTGTGTACAGCAGAGACCCGAGGGAAAAACCAGGTAACCATCCAAGCCTTTTCTCATCTCAGTGAGAGTTTTCCAAATTCTCGGCTCAACAGGAACTGAGACCACTGGGAAGAAACATAACAGATCCAGATTGCGCGGGCATCCCAAAGAAATGTCTGTACAGAAATAAGTCCAAATGTTAGGGCCCTACTTTTTCAGAGTATCAGTATAGAAGATTCTATTCTGCAGGGCTCTTTTTTCATATCATGTGAAACGGGAATTGCCTTCTTTGGTACCCACTACCCTTTAGATAAGGACAAATTTAACATTCAATGCCAAGAGAAAGTATTTGCTAGAAAAAAAAAAGAGTTCACGAAGTCCCCTGTTTCTTGTTTTCTGACCCTGGAAAATAATGTAATCCAGGACAATTGTATTCTTTTTTCCTAGTGTCAGGATAATTAGGTAACTAGATCACTCTATTTACCTGATCTAGTTGTTCGTTAACCTACTCACATCTACTTTTGTCTCCTTTAAAGGAATTTTGGGGCCTTTTTTTTTTTTTCGAGAGAGAGAGAGAGTGGGGGGCGGGGAAGGGCAGAGAGAGAGGTTGTGGGGGAGAATCTCCGGCAGGCTCCACGCTCAGTGCAGAGCCCGACATGGGGCTTGATCCCACGACCCTGGGATCATGACCTGAGCCGAAATCAAGAGTCAGACACTCAACCCACAGAGCCACCCAGGTGCACCTTTGGGGTCATTTCTAAATGAATGTTGTACTGGTGCTGCATTTAATTTTGAAGCTGTTTGCAGCCCTTTGTGGAGGTTACAGAGAACGAGCATGAGGATGTGTGTTTACTCACATACATTCTCAACCAGCTGCCCTTTCCCTGTCACTTCAGCTATTGTTTCGGTTTTTCCAACTGGTCCTCCTCACATCTCAGCAGAGCCTGCCTGTGTCTTACGTTGTGGAGCTTTCTGGCTGTCAGAAACTTGGCTGGCCAAGTGTCTAGCTGACTTTATATAAGAAACTCCTGGAGGCTTCCAGAGTCTTACACTCCATGAATATCTATATCTGATTATGCCACCTTGCTGCCGTTAGAATGCTCTAGTCTTGTACCATGGGGACACACAGATGGATTACAGATCCCAGGCTCATCCAGGTTTTACAAGTATTTCCCATTTAGGATCCAGGCCTACAGAACCTCCTTAGAATTCAGTTATGGAGGCAGCCATTGTCATTGGAATTGAGGCAGAACTCTGGCACCCAAAAGCTCTGGTTTCCTATATATGTAGAATGGCCTGGAGAGGGGCCAAATCAGCTTTTGAGAGCTGGGAGTTGAAGATACAAAACCCACAGCACAGGCCAAGACTCTTGGGCTAGTTGAAAACTCTCAGAATGGACCGCACACTTCTATCAGAGATGAGAAGCTCATGTTCATCAGAATGTCCAAAAAGCAAATGGGGATACTTCAAGACTCATGGTATGTAATCCAAATGGAAAATCATCAGGTTTTCTCTACCCGTAGGGACAATGGCCAGCCAAACCCTCCTAAGCCTGGGCACCACTGTTGCCTTTCCTCTCTGAAACTCCTGATGGTACAGCGGGGCTGGTGGGAGGTGGACTGGAAAAGGAGAGATGCACAAGATCTGAGAGCACAGACAGCCACCTGTTTTTAATCAAATGTTCCATAAACATGCCTGAGATACACAGCAGGTGGTGCTAAAACTAAGCACAGGAATTACAGTATTTATTGAGCACCTACTACAAGCCCAAACTGGTTCAATCTCAAAGCCCACTGCTGGCTATTGCAACACAGTCCCACCAGGTCCCTGGCTGCTTGGGTGGGCCTAGAGCCTAGGACCAGTGCTCCCACTGGGGCTTCCTCATTTTGTCGAATGCCTTCCATGAGCTTATGTAAGCATTTCTCTGGCACATTATGCATTGTTCCCAACTGACTCCAGACCTTTCCTGTTTTATACTTCCCAAGGGTCTCCATGCTTGGAGCTGTGCTAGGGCTGTGCCAGGCAGGTGTGAAATGGCCCCGGAAGATCCTGATCCAATGGGCTCAGATAGCCATCATGGAGAAAATAAATAAAATGGAAATAAAATTAGCACAGTGCCTGGTTGTCCCACACGTGCAAGGTGGTACACAGGTTGGTGTCTAGGGTCATCCCTATGAATGAGTGATGAGTAATTTCCACACCTTTGACTCACCTCTGGGCCAATAATTCTCCTACTTGGCAGTCACTTTTGTACAGACCCCCAACTTAGTGGTCATAGGTCCTTGTACGTATGTATGTGGCCATAGCTCCATAGTGGAGCTCCTCGTATGTATTCTTCCCTCTGCTCTTCCTTTGTCTGCCCTCCCCAATCCTGAGGCAGAAATTCAGAAGCTTACTTGTGTGGACATAGGTATGCATTGTTGGGGCAAGGCATCTCTAAGACTCTGAGAGCAACGGTATCGAAATGGACAGAGTGAGGCTCACGGCTGTGGGGACAGCTGCATGCCCACAGAGTGATATCACAGGCATAATTTATAGGAGGGTGATCTGCAGAGACAAATGGGGTTCAGCGAAGTGCTGTAGTCCTTGGGGAGCTCTCCACATGAGCAGTCGATGGCCATCTTCTTTGCTCACCCCTCAGGATTCATCCTTCTTGTCATCACAGAACCTTGATTCTCTTGGGGAACCACCACCCTGTCAGTCTGGTCTACGTTGCTGGGTGGGACTGATCCCACTCCCAGAAGATGGGTGGGCACGTGACACTGATCTGGCCCGCGAAAGCACTTGATTAGTTCTGGGATGGGCACTAACCTAACTTTGGCAAATGAAACTTATTTTTGAGATTTTTGCTAGAATTACTGGGACAGAGCACTCCCCATATGGTAGAATTTCTAACTTACTGACTGTCAGCCTGGAGCTACTGGGACATTGATGCCATTATGCTTGGACAGCCTGCCAAGAACCGAGTCAACTCAAGGGAAATCCTCCCTATGAAATACACGGCTACAGTGGGTGGGGTTTATTGAGTCCAGAGATCCAGCCTTGCCTGGAGCCAGACCTTTGTTGGTCTCCAGGGAGATGAGGTGACGGATCTGTTTGTCTGCTTCAGTTAGCCTTAAGTGGCTTTACATACCTGCCCTGAAACGTTGCAGAGAAATCCAAGTGTGGACATTAACGTTTGTATGAAACAGAAATAATACGAGGTCTCCAGGGCTGATATTCAGCTAATATGCACAGTTAGGACTGTACCATTGTTGAACTATTGAGATATGTCCATTCCAGTTTGTAAACAGTTACCCCCCTCTCCACCTGCCCAGCACTGCCCCGGCCTGCTGGACCATCCCTTGGTACGCCCTGGACCTCCCCACTAGATCCACCAACTAAAGGGATACTACCAACTAAAGGGAGGCTTCCGCTGGCAGCTACTCCGACTGGTCTTTTGAAGGTGATCGGTGCCTCCCGTGTTGCAAAATTCAATGGTCATTCCTTCGTTCTTCTCTTGCTTGGCCTGCCAATAACATTTGGACACCAACACAGCTGGCCGCTCCCTCCTTGAACACTCTACGTGGCTTAAAGGACACCTTCCACACCTGCAGCTCCTCCTGCCTTCCTGGCCACAGCTTGAATTTCTTTTGCTGGCTCCTCTCCGTGTCCTTCACTTCTAAAGGTTGGCCGACCCCAAGGCACAGTCCTTAGACCTCTTTCCCATGTGCATTCATTCTCTTGGTGATCTTAGCCAGGCTCACGGCTTTAGATACTAGTCCAAATTTACATCTCACCTGGACTTTTCCCTTCAAGTCTAAACTTCTATACCCGCTGGCCTACATGACACCTCCACTTGGTGTCTGGCAGGCATCTCAGAATTAACATGTCCACAACTCAGCTCCTGATAAGCAACACACCCCATAGTAGTTCTTCCTGT